GGCAGAGCACAGATAGCCCATTGTGTAGCTTTGTGCTTAACTTCAAACAAACAAAGAGATAAAAATTGATCCTTGAAACGAACCACACTTATTTCTTTATTATTTGGAAAAGTAACCAGTTTCGTTTAAGGAGTACTTGCTACTGGATATAGCAGGTATAGTGTGGTTGTTATAACAGCACACTCTCTTCGTTACTTATTAAGTCTTAGTCTTTTGCATATGCTATGGGATAACCTTGCACCAATTAATTAAGTAATCCACATTTAAAACACTGTCCCATGATAGTACTTAAGTTCTTATAACTAATAGTTTATTTTGTTCCGGTTTAAGCTGACTCCACAGTGGATTTTAGATCCATGGTAACCATACAGTGCAGCCGTGTACCACGTGCGTGAAGAAAAAAAAATAATAAAAGAGAGACAGAAGTGAGAGCTATTAATAATGTTGATGATATTTATTAAAGTCCAATACTGATAACGTTCTAGGTGGTTGAGAAATGTGTAGAGTTTTATCGAGAAGGCCAAGGTTTTATTACTGTACAAAGAGTATGACGTATCCTGAAATTTTCATCACTAATAGAAACACTATTAAACCAAAACCAAATTATGTATCCGTTTGCTTAATCAACCTTGTTTCTTACTAAAATATTAATACGTGACGTTTTTCAGTGAACACCATACAATAGCTGACGTAAAGATGACGTCATTAGGCCTAGCCCAAGATATCCTTCTTCCTAACCGAAGGTTTTCACTTTTGTCCCGTTTATAATAATAATTTATATAAAAAAAATTAACGAAAAAGATAGATCACTAAACTAGAAAAACTAACAAAAAGCCATATCGTATCAGAGCATTATCTCGAACACTAATATGACGGCTATACAAAACATATGATACAGTTTGTGAGTTATAAATCAAATATAATTTATGAATCACAAAAGAGCTGTTACTAGTCGGTTGTTAACCTGATTTTCTGGTGTTTTGAAACAGGTTCAGGTGAATTCGTCCTTCGAACAATTTAAAGGTTCCAAAACTTCTAGAGTTAATCAGTAACGACGAGATTATCTCGTTCAAAACGAGTTTGTTTGTTTGTTTTAGCGCATAGTCACTCAAACAGACTTATCTGAGCCCTGTCCGCTACGGGGGGAATCGAATCCCGGATTTTAGCGTTGTAAGTCCGCCAACTTACCGTCGACCCAGTGGGGGACTGAAGAAGAGTTGAGACGTTCGTTGGGTCACGAGTTACAATATTTTTCCAAATGGTATCGTTACTGAGCTAAGTTAAAATAGGAATTTATTAGTGAACGGAACTTTTTTTTTTAATTCGACATTATTTTAAATATTGAGCTTTCGATGTATTGGCGACTTTTTTTTTTCGTAATCTTCCAGTTTTAGCTGAAATCATGGGTAGAGATTGTTTAATATTTTTTTTAAACCCATGATAAATTCAAGTTGTTCATACTACGGTGTTACAGGTGGTGCCTTTTTAGCAATAGTTACGAATCAGCGCGAATTCTGACAATAGACCCATACGTTATTTTACAATGATTCAGCGGTACTTACGTAAACCGTAACCGGAAAACAAACCCCTTGCTTCAAACATTTAGGTTAAAAACTTCAAATCTCTCAATCAGGCCTTCCTTACATGACGTGCCACGTAATTAGATCATGAATAATCGTTAAATTACCCGCTTTCTTCGAGAAAACGGGCTTTTGTATATCAGCCTGTTCAATTATGTGGAACATTATCAGATCTGAAAGATCTAGATCCGTGGTTCGACGTGGTACATTCAAAAATATATTGTCATACACCCAGACACGCTTTTTATTCTTTTTTTTTTTCTTATCATTTTCTACACAACAGTCCTATTGCGATATAAAATATGTTATAAAAAATAGTTTCATATCCATAATGTTTAAAAGAGGAGATTGAGTTGTTCACTTTATTTGTTGTATAATTAATGAAAAATGGTCAGTATCTTCAAGAATACTGGTATACTTTCTTGCTATTTACATAGTTCTGAAATACAGTTTTTTTCCTTATTTTCGCCCATTTTTAACTTTATAGTAGCATTAATTTGTTTCTTTGGCTCTAAGCCAGATTTCCTGTACCGGCCGGCGAGCTGTGGCAGTGAGCACGCCGGCCGGCGATATGTCGTGGTCTCATTACAGTTCTGACAATGTAGGATAAGTAGGTCCTCACTCTGTTGAAAGACCTGGTTTTGAAAGTTACTTAATTTTAAAACGGAAGGCGGTCCCAGCTTAACCACCTAAATACTTTTTACTCTGGTTCAGATTGGGGACGTTGCTAAGACGCCGAATTTTACGATAGGCACTCTCTGTGACAAACCGTTTCATATTTCTAGGCTAATTGTACAGAATCATTGTTGAAACAACAGTAATTGCTAATTGTATTCATTCATAACCGTTTACGACACGGCCGACCAAAAAGCATTTATTATTAGAATGTAGGTATAAAGCAACGAAACAGCACGAATCTTCTTTTGATATTTTGGGCGCCCTCTGTAATAATCAATCGATATTTGAAATATTAAACGGTATTACCTTCAAGTTGATTCTAACCTATTTTCTGATTGGCTTAGACTGCGTATAAGTTGTGTATATAATGGAAGTCTAATCGAATTTTTGAAAATTAGAAAGCTGTGAGAAAACCAGTTTCATAGCACTGTTTTAGAACTTTCATTGTCATTTAGGTTAAATATATTAAATCAAAACTAACACTTTTTAACTTAGTTTCTTATTAGTTTACCCGGCAGTTCGTCAACTCCTGCTTATGTAGGTTGCCCAGGAAACGCTATTTTCAATATTTGATTAACCGGTTTCGACATTGCAGATAAAGACCACATGATTAGGCTGTAAAAGTAACCTGACTTCATTTTTTTACTTCTGTTAGATTCTGTACAGAACTGTATTAGGATCTTAGTCTTCTCAAGTGTCATTAGCTTTGTCTGTTTCATCAGTTCTTGGAGAAAGCGTGCCACATGTCACGTGCTCACTTGTTTCGCAAAACAACAGTACGTAGTGGGAAATAATTATCGACGAGTTTTACAGTGAATTTAGACATGTTCACACGGTAGAGTTTATTACGTGGTAACCGTGGCGTAGTTTAGACATAAATACGAGGTGTAGTTTATTACATGGTAACCGTGACGTAGTTTAGACATAAATACGAGGTGTAGTTTATTACATGGTAACCGTGGCGTAGTTTACACACGAATACGAGGTGTAGTTTATTACATGGTAACCGTGCGCGTAGTTTAGACATAAATACGAGGTGTAGTTTATTACATGGTAACCGTGCGCGTAGTTTAGACATAAATACGAGGTGTAGTTTATTACATGGTAACCGTGACGTAGTTTAGACATGAATACGAGGTGTAGTTTATTACATGGTAATCGTGACGTAGTTTAGACACGAATACGAGGTGTAGTTTATTACATGGTAATCGTGACGTAGTTTAGACACGAATACGAGGTGTAGTTTATTACATGGTAACCGTGGCGTAGTTTAGACACGAATGCGAGGTGTACTTTATTACATGGTAACCGTGGCGTAGTTTAGACACGAAT